AGTGTTTCCTTTCTTACCCAAGTTAAAAAAAAAAAAAATCAACTTTTCCTGAACAACAGTTCATTAGCACCTCACTATTTATAAGTATAATTGGGTTGTTTGATGAGAAAACATGAGAGAACACTGTGCCTACTATAATTTGCACAAATACAAATTTCATTGTTTGAAAACAAATCAGCAATTCAACGAATGTGTTTTTTTTAATATAAGTGTATATCATGCAATAATAGAAGTGATCATATTACAGTTAACACAGGATAGAAAGGTTAAACCATGTTCTAAACCACTTTAATTTACAAGCTGTAAATTAATTTTTTTTAATTGCAAAAAAATGCTAACTTGAATTTTTCATTTGTTATTCAACTAACTATAATTCACACAGATAACCACACTGTGCTATTTAGCTGCAGAGTGCTGCTTTCCCACTCTAAATAGCACAGGAGCTGAGGACAGAGCTGTTTAATATGTTCATAAAGCTGCTTAGGTTTTCTTGTCATTTCATGCTAACACCTTTTTAATAGCTAGCATTATGATAGAAGCCTTGCATAAAAATTCACCAACCCGAAAGTAAAACACAGCAAATATTCAAAATCAGAATAGCAAGCGATGGTTTTAATTGCAGTTTTTAAAAAATTCAAGGTTTTAAATTAGGTCTTGATCCCCAAAATCCTTAGCATCCTTAAATTACATGAGCAAAGCCATTCAATTCAACATGATTACTTCTAAAATAAGGACAACTCACATGACTGAGCATTTACAGAGCCAAACCCATAACCAAAATTATAACAATGACTCCTCATTATTTTCAAATTCAAAATAAATTGATCCTTTTCCTTTGAGAGTTTCTCTCCAACCCAACTTACACTTAAGGATGGAGGGGAATAGAGACAGAGAAGGAGAGAAAGGAAAAAGAGATATAAACACACACACTAAACTGAGTGCTGACAAACTGCACGTTAACAGATGTGTGACTTCTAATTAGTTATAATAATCTGTGCTACTGGAACCTGCCTGCCTTCCTTTGCAAATCAAACAGCTTCCTTTGGAGTTTTAAACTCTCTGGGTGCTTCTAAATTTATGCAAGGAAAAAAACCTTGCTTTCAGCAAATTTTAGATAAACTACAGTGATAACTTTATGAAAGGAAAATATTAAATTATAATTATCCTAAACAGACACAGTCTTGTGAAACTAACCCTACATTCATATGAAAATACAAAGCATTGACTATAATGAATTTGATTCATCCTTGGACACAAAGCTTTACCACAGTAAACTCAGTCAACTGTTGCTCTTGCTTTTATATTCATAGTACTTAAATAGCGCACTTTAAAACAAAAAAAACTCCAATTGGCTTTTCATACATCCACCCTCCCCAAAAATAACGCACTTGAAAAACCCAAATGATATGAAAAGGCTTCAAGGCCTCTTTTCTCCTTTTCACAGCACTTTTTTTTTATTTCTGTTTGCAGTAATCTGCCTTTCACTTTCTCATTGCTACAGAACAAACGAGGAGGCTCAGCACTTTGAAAAGGGGGCTCAATGTGTAATGGGTCCACTAGAATTAATTTAGTTGCACCAAATCCATTGAGCAGTGAGGTTTTTTCTCTTCTCAAATCATTTTGAGTCGGATGCAGCCCCCAGCCTTTGTAATTCTAGTAAAGCACTTAAAGTGCACAGTAGGTGTTCATCAGGACCATCTGGTCAAAAGCAAAACAAGCTGCTGATTTTGCCTTTGAATAGAATGAAGCAAGTGTGAATTAGTCTCTTCAATTAGCACTATTACAACCTGTCAAGTGCATATTGTAAAACAGGATTATTACAGTATTGGTCACCAGTGCAATTATTTACTCTCTGCCTTTTCTTGCATATAAAAATGTCCATGTTTACTAGTTTTTAATAACTGAAGATCGTTTCTTTAATGATATGCACGTCCAAACCCACCAAAATCAAATCACAGGTTATGAAACATATTCTGTCAGGAATATATTAAGATTCATAATTAAGTGAGAAGTAGTGCCCTTTCTTTATCTCTTATTGCTGTTTCTGTTGCAGAAAAAGAAAAATAGTTATATATATTTTTCAATGGGATATCTTCGAAAACAGATCCCTTCAGTCAGGTATTAAGATATTTTAAGTGCCTAATAATAAAGTTATCACTGTTGAACAGGTACCTAAAAGGTATTTTCTCTTTATTTCCCAAGGAACTTCCTTTTCATATAATTTCCAACACGCGATCACTTACAAAAAGTTTATCAAGGATTTCTTCCAGAGAATACGTTTTACTTTAGGTATGTGCTGGTTTTTCTATCATACTAAGGCAAAAAAACAAATCAAAAAGTTGATTAAGCTTTTTAAAAATATTTTTTTTCTCTCCTCGCTGAAAAAGTCACAGCCTGACTTGCTAGCAGGTCCTCATTTACCACTGCAGAACACCGAGGCTATCACAGCGATGTTTAAATTATGTATACTGCTGTTTACAACCTGCTATAAATTCAGTATAATTTTAAGACGACAGATTTCTTTAAAAAGCAAACTAAATATTCAAATTTCACAAAAACATACGGCTCTCGAGTTCAATGACTATAGCAATGTATTTTAATAGCTTGTCTGATACTAGGAGTGTTCGAACAATAGAATGTTTGTGCACCTCCTATTAAATCCAAAAAGTGCAAGTTACTGATTTTTATTACAACAGTAGTTTTCAACAATTTTAAAGCAAGTACAAAATGTCAAAACATAAAACTGTTTCTCAAACTATTAATATATGTACCATATTTGGGTATGTCTATTTCTGGTAAATGTATTTTACTGTAATTATCTTGCTACGGCATTAAAAAGAGTAACATTATTTATATATGCATTTCATGTCTCCATGTCAGTGTCTGACGTTTACTTTGAATGATCTCACTCAGCAACAACTGTCTTGAAAATATTTTGTTCACACACCAAAAAACAGATCGGAAAAAGGTACAAGACCTTCAGCCAGATTATTTTTCTGCCTGCTGCAGGTAATTCAGCTCAGCTTACCTATATTTATATATTACATTTATTTAGGCCTTTTAAATAATGCTTCTGCCTTCATGTTCATAATGGTGATTTTGCATCTTGTTTAACATTCATCCACTCATGAAAAAAGTTTAAAGAAATTCATCACAGAGGATTTGATTAGGGTCTGTCAACACAGAATTTACAGTTTATCTCAGCCCAGGCAGTTGTGTGCATAAATAGTTCCTCCTCCTGCCTGGAGGGCTATTGGATACAATGCTTTCCATATTCCACCTTAGCCAGTGAGTCTGCAGGGAACAGAGAACAAATATATTACCTAGCACAGGTGACAGGGATGCTGAGCAGGCAGCCTCTGCTTAAGTTATTGGCTAAAGGAACAGAATAAAGAGCAGAGGCAGCTATGCAGAGGCAGCCAGCATTTAGAGACCCATCTTCTCTGCATTGTTTGCACAGATTTTATGTTTTACCAAGAATTTTAGTGCCCAGTACATGCTCTACATAGTATTCTCAACCGGAATTTCCAGCAGTTACAAAATAAGATTACCAGTCTGTGAGGGGACTGAGGGACATATTTAACTCATCCACCCTTTAGCAGTCACAGCTTGTGTACACTGCATATTTTTGCAATCCTGCACACAGGAATGACAAAAAGGCTTCAAAGTCTGTATCAAAAGAGTAAAATAGACAAATGTAAAGTCCTTGTTTTTAATGGAGCAATCCAGTTTGTTGAAAATGTTTGATTTTTTTTCTGTGTCGCTGATTAAAACAAAAAGTGTAGTGCACATTATTGTGACAAGAACTCAAGTCCATTAAGTTTTTCACAAATTAGTTTGCTCCGGCATCAGAACACAAACTTGCTTTTAACACAAATTTAAATATTCTCCCTTGTGAAAAAGACTTCCCTTCATTTCTGTCAAATAATGAAACTACAATCTGCAAAAATGAAAAGTAATAAAAATGTTCATTTCTAAATGAGAACAAGTTAACAAGAATAGATAGAAAAGAAATTATCTTGAGTGTGGCAATGCCTCGTAATAATTTAGCACAGAGCTTCCCAAACCTAAAGTTAAAAAAAAAATTTCTCCAATTTCAAACAACCGCTATAAATTATCTTAGCAGAATAAAGAACAAGTCTTCAGACAGAAAACTCCTTTTAGTCTTGCATTAGGAGTTCAATTTGTCAAATTGTCTTTATTTAACCATCTAATACACTGTAAATGTATTCATTTGCAGTCTCCTAACTGGTACAAAACCTCCCAATTTCCAATTTAAAATGCAGATCATGGAAAAAAGTAACCATGATATTTCCCAGAACGGTATCTGCCCAGAATTAATTTAATACTGCAATTTTACAAGAACAAACTTATGTCAGAAACCTGTGACACAGATTAATTTGCAATTTAGACTATCATGTTATTACTAATTTTCCAAGTTAACTACTCCCCTACTCAACTCAAAAAAAAATTAAATCGAATATACAGAATTTTTTACAAGTTCCATTTAGTTTTTTATTTAATTTCCAAAGATTATAAGTTCATAATCACAAAACAATATAACTGAATGTAACTTATATTTTAAGATGAGCAATCAGATTTTAATATGTAAAGAGTTAGCTATTTTGACGAAGAATGTTAAAAAAATAAAAGGCATTTTCAAGAAACATCCAAAATCCAATTATTAAAATAATATGCAATAAATTTTGGAAGCAGACATGAGCACTACAGCATCAGGCTTCTCTCAGATAATTTTTTGCCACATGGTTTCCCCATTAAACACCACGATTTCTTTGAAAAAACAATTCACCCGAATATAATTTACTATTAAACATGCATTCTAAACAATAAAAACACCAGAGAACTGCAGCAATAGGAGTTGAGGAAAGTACAGCTGTGAGCTCACTGGATTCTGCATTTAATGCATTGCAAAACATTTCTGCCTTCTAAAAGGGTGGTGGGGTTGAGTTTTTGGTGTGAGTTTGGGGGGTTTTTGAGACCCTTGGGAAAAATATCTATTCCTTAAAATTCACAGTACTAATAACAACAGCACACTGAACCAGCAGCCCTTGAGAGACAGTTGCACCCAACTGTGGCAAGAAGTAGAACATTTCTAGAATCTTAAATATTTCTTTTAATAATTGATGTAGTCATTTTGAATCTTTCTGCATAGGATATGGCGTGTGAGTAGATTGCATTAACACTGCTTAAACATTTCAACTTGTCAGTATGGCCAAGTCGATTTCTGAAATATTTGCTGTATTTTCCCATCGAAACAGTAATAAAGGTAGAATAAATATATGCCACTGCTTTATAATCACTGAACATTAATGAATATTTTATGTCTTTTTAAATCTCCCTGTTTAATTTAAAAGGGTGAAATTAAGTCTCCTCCCTGCAATATGCCAATTATCTGTAAATCAAACAATAACTTGGCCATTATAGTCCTTTTTGTTAATATACCAGAAGCTAATTTGAAAACACTGAGCGGCATTTTTAGGTAATAATTGAATAGTCCTTCCTGCCCTCTTGTGGTTGGCAACTGCATCACTGAGCTTCTCCATCGTTACAAAAATACACCAGGAGGAAAGTAAACTATTAATTTGTTAAAGTGTGAACAAGAGAGTGAAGAGAGAAAAAAAAAAAATCTAACAGTCCCAGGAGAGGACAGAGACAAAGGAGATGAGGAACGAGACCAACAATTCCTCCAAACCACAAGGACTGCCTAGATTTGTTACAATGATTACTCTATGCTAAAAGAAAAAAAAAAATTAAATTAAGAAGCCATTAGGGAGTTAACATTCAAAACAGTGCTTGTTTTCTATAATTAGACAAATGTTCACCAACCCTTTTACCTCAGTGAAATCCCCAGGGATTTCCAGGAGCCTTTGCACAGACAGACACGTTCACCTGTTCAGCATCAGCTGCACAACAAGGGCCAGAGAGTTCTTGTCTCATTTTAGCTCCTGAATTGGTCTTCACAATTTTAGACACTCTATTGGGTGTGACACTCAGATACAAGAAAGGCAAAGAAAGGCTTTCTGCTCGTGCTGGTTACGTGGTGGTAGGGTTTTGATTTTGGTTGTTTAAGGGAAAAATCATAATTAATTTTTAAATTATGTTGATTTCATATGGCAACCTGATGACTGTAAGCTACCATTACCAACAAACAAGAAAACTTCAGGGCATGGAAAGGCAGCCTAGACCCCCCTATCACAGCTTTCTGGTTCCTTTAAGCCAGGTAAGACCCACCAGCAAAGAAGTAAATGATATAGCATCAATAAAAACCAAACAGACAATACATATGTATATGTTTTCTTTTAGAATCTCACTATTTTAAAATTAAAACCACATATTTGGATGATTTATTTCCATAAATGTTCAAATTCTTTACAATTCTAGAGAGTCAAAGTTCAGGTCCTTAAAAGTCAAACTGACCCAAGTATGTTTGTTTATCTGTATTACCACAAACAGCAAAACAGAACTTACTATAGTAGATCTAAACATAAGAAGTAGAAAACAGGCTTTCACATGGGGGAAAGATCAGAATTTAGATCTTAGGAATAACAGGATTAACAATGAAAACAGTTAGTGATCATTCTTCATTGTTGTATAAGATACTACTCCCATAGCTAATAATACAGAACTTAAATTAATTCTGTCTACCATGTCAGCATGTGACACAAAAAACTTCAATAAAATCTGTTCAGCCCTGAAAGATTGAGAGAAGTGTCAGACCAATAATAGCAAACATACATTTAATTTGAAAAGCAAACATTTAATCTTAATATTTTGTAATGTGAATTCTGAAGATTCACATTTCTAGGTTGTTTGTCAAGTTTCCAGAAAGCAGTGGGTTATATGGAAAATAACATCCAGAACATCTGGTATCAGATAGACAATGGAGCACTAGACAACAACCTTCGGGCTTGCAAAGGAGTTTTTAAAATATGCAAGTGACTGTTTATTCTGCATTCAGAGAGTCCAGAGCCACATCAGAGACATTTGATCCTTTAGGACTCAATTCTGCCGAAGTTCTCTCCAATATCACCCCTTGCTGGCCATTCCACAGAACGGCAGCAATGTCCATTACACACAAAACCATTTGGCCACCAGGCCAGTAAGAATTACAGCTCTCCAACAGCAACCAGCACAATGCCTGAGGTGCCTACAAAATGGAGATGGAGCTGGTTAAAAGAAGGGAAGACACAGGAAGCTTCAAGGGGCTTCAAGTAAAATGCAATTTGAATAACTCAATAAATGTTTGTTTGTGTGTTTTGCTACTACAATACAAAAAGAAACATCTTTTCTGTAGAATTTAATAGAACACCTTTTTCTAACTGAATTATTTCATCAAATCACAGCAAATCTTGATGATCCAGTCGATTAAAATAAAAAAGACTAATAAAATACAGGAATATCCATCGAGACTATGCAAACCCCCTTTAACAGAGCTGGCATTAGCTATAATGAGCTACATTTATTCTTCAGCTGTGAAACAGCACTCACCTCCTGAATGGTACTGCTTCCTGAGAAGTTGAGGTTGTACTCCCGCTGGACTTCTCGATGGGTGACAATCAGCATGAAGTTTTGATTTAATGACTCCTGCAGGGCCCTGAAATGGTTGAAAGAAAAACAGGAAAATCAGGGATAAGCATGTTATAGCTTGTTTTACAGTCAGATGCAAAAACCCCAGGGTACCCTAAACTCTACATGGACAAGTCCAGGCACAACATTATCATCTCTCTTTTCACTCTTAAATGCAAGGAAGCCTGCTGAGAATGACCAAAGGCCATTCCTGAACTCCTTCCTTAATAAGGTGACTGCAGCCTTTAAAGCTCTTCTAATGTTAAGTATTTTCAAAATGGAGAGAGTCCCATTATCTTCACAAACATCGGGTGTATTTAGCACTCCTAATACCACTAATAACAGGCTTGTCAGCATATTGATAGCCAGACCAAATATCAAGCTATGATGCACATTAAGAACTGATGGTAAGCAGAACAAGGCAAAGCATGTTCTTGCTTCTCTAGGGTTACCTGAAGCAGAAACCAAATGGGAATTCTTCTGCTTAGTTTCATTTAAAGCACATAAACCCAGCTAATTAGAACTGGAAAAGTAACCACAGCAGAATTTCTTGTGTGGGAATTGAACATTTAGAAAAGTTAGTTCTGCTCACATTGTTTTAAATGGATGACACAGAGGTCTTAATAAAAATAAATATTTTTTTAAAAATTAAACTAAAAAAAAAGAAATCTTAAGATACAGTTCAAACAGGCCAACTATATCTTCATGTTGTTACAAACTTGGGGTTCTTTTTCTGATTTTCCTGGTAGTAAAACATCTGGATGTTAAAAAGGCATCCTGATTGCTTAATTAGGTACAAAATTATGCAGCTATCTACTTTTCAAAGTAGAAGGCAGGACTTCTTTTATAGACACGGCAATTATGGCAACCTTGCACATGCTACAAAACTGCAGCAACACTGTACCACAGCTTGAGTTTCTGAACAATATTTATGCAGACTAGACTTGTTCAGTGGCATAAGAAATTTAATTGGTCCTATTCAATTCTCTTTTTTCTTATCACATACACTTAAAAGAAGGACTGTGTTTTTTTCCTTCACATCTTCACTATTCTGTGACACTTCAACATGCCACCTCTCTTAGCAGTAAAGGGCAAATTCTGAATGCAGAGCAGCACAGCTGATACAAGAAGACAAGAAAGACTCCTACATCATTTGAGACCTGATTTGTTAGTTTTAACTCCTTCTGGAATTACTCATCTGCTGTTTTGCTGCTCAGATGGGAAGGAACTCATACAACACTCACTGGATGCTGTAGCAAGAGATACAAAATTTGCTTGAACATCTCAGGGAAATTTATCTTACAAAAATTTCTTCACTCAGAAACCTAATTTGGCTCCTGTGATATCTCATTAATCACATACTACCAAACAAAATCATAAAGTGCTATTTCTTGTCTTTTATGATTTTCCAACATGGAAAATAAATATAATTCATTGTCAATGCTAAGCATGAGAGACATTACAAATGTAACTGGAGTCACCTATGCTGAACATGTAGTTTTCTGCACTTTCACAAGATTTGCTACAAAAGGCCTACAAATTTTTTAAATACTTAACAGTCCTTCAAAGGAGGGGAAAAAATAAAAAGAGGAGTACTGAAAAGTTGTATGCCTGTTTTCAAAGGTAATTCTAATTTGATTGTAAGTTTCGTATCCCCATAACCACATTTTCTATTGGCAAATGTTCAGTAGCAACTAAAATATCCTGCTGTGCTTTTTCAGATTCTGATTTTTTTATTTGTTTTCAGCAAATATTGGAGGCAAATGACATATTTAATTGCTCTGAAAACATTAATTACCGCATATGTGAACGGCTCTGGATTCCATACAGACTCACACAAGGTTCTGTTATAGCTAATTTTGACTCTATCTGAAAATCTGTAGATGCTAACTGATAACATGACTCATGTTTTCATTCTGTAATTGATGTAAACATAGAAGGAAACAGGACAGTCTGATCAAACCCTCAGTCTCTCCAGTTATGCATGATCCACACACTTCAATGCAACTCAAAATACAGCTTGCTAATAAAAAGCATCTGCTCATAGGAAAAGTTTTCCACTTGTGAGTGCAGGAAGCATTTTGGAAAGGAAAAAATACTCTTCAAACAAATTTAAATGAAGTGCCTAAAAATTAAAAGCTTTAATTTTTGAACTAACAATTTTGACACCTCTACTTTGGGGATTTCTAAGCAACACAAGCTGAATGTTGTTAACAAGCAAATTCTCAGCACATATTCATTGACAAACAGTGAACAAAGAGGCTGAAAATTAAGCTGGCTAATTAAAAAAAAACATGGAAAAAATGGAGGGAAAACTAGGTTTGAAAATGTTAGCAAATACAGTGCATGGTTAATTGTTCACTTTTTCTTGAGAAAAATAACAAAATGAGGAACACTACTTCTGCTTACATAGAAATGCACTGATCAACTGCTCTGGTCCTTGGAGCTCCTATATCAAAATCTCACATGGTCTGACAGCTGTAAAGCTTGGAAAGTGTCCAATGGAAAGGAGAAGGGAGGAGGAATTGATGGCACATCTGATGGGACACTGATGCCAGCACCGGTGCTCACCCTCCTCTGTGGGATGGGCTTGATGTCTGTCTCATAATCATTTCCTCCAGCAAAGGGGGATGCAGATTACCCCAAATTACTTGCCCAAAATTTGTATTTCAGCCATTAAGGCAAAGATAAATTTTACAATATAAATGTATTTAAAGGAAAGGTCTCACTGACACTAAGATGAAGCTTATTTTCATTTCTCTTTAGGCCCATGTAGGTGTATTGAGAAGACTGACTTTGAATACAATACACATCTAAAATTTTGCTTCAGTGTTTACAGCTGTTTAATTTTCCTACAAATGTTATAGTTGACAATAACTTTGTAGTATAATAATTTGACTAACAAATAAAATATCTATATTAAAAGGGGAAGAAAATCAGGGTTAAACTCTAGGTCCCATTAAAGACAAGACAGATTTTTTTCTTTTTTTCTTTTTCATTGTTGCTACCAGTGCTAAAAGAATTCAATTAATCTGAGAATTAATTCATGGAAAAAGAAAACTAAATTCTAGAAAGAGGACTAAAGTAGGCCACTCTTACTAGAACCATTTTTCCCCTACTGCAAACCCCAGCTTTCAAAAGCATTTGCTGATAGGTGATACACTGCCTTTGCAACTTTTTTACCTCAGCTGAATGATTCTGCACTCACTATGCAGCACAGGAGGCAAGGAAATCTACATTTTTGGGCATCAATTTTCCATTTGAGGTACCCTGCCTACACCAAAAGAGAAGTCCAAGAATAGACAAAAGAAAATAGACCTGACCACAGTCACTGCTCTCACCAATTCTAGCAAGAGACTTAGGCACACAAAACAGATTGGTTCTATCTACTGTTAAGTGATTGCATTAATGGTCTGATTTTTTATATGATACTTTGCTTTTCAGCAGCATTTTTCTTTGAAATTTTGGTAATCTTTTAGAATTTGACACCAAAATAAATCCTTAATCAATGATATGTACATGTTCCTTTTAATCTCAGTTTCTTGGAAATACATTCAGTATTTCCCACTTCCTCAGTCACACAGATTTCCCCAAAAACCCCTGATTTTTATATTAACAGGTACAACACAAGGTAATTAACATTTCCATTTTAAACTTACAGATTTATACAAGCTCATGTCAACAGAAGTCCAAATTTACTGTAATTACAGATTATTTACATTAAAACAAAATAAGAAATCAGTATGTAAATGTAATGTTTGTTGTAGCTAATGCAGCAGGAGGTGGTAGATTAGGTTCAAACAGCAATCAGTTAGCAAATCTGGCTAACATGTAAATGAGCAGAAGCCCTTTTGTTTACATTCTACTGCATTTTAAACTTCAGGATTTTTAAACTGTCTCATGAACAGATGTGAAAATAAAACATTAATCTTACCATTCTTATGGAAGCTTTCAAAGTAACTAAAGCAAGGCACTGCTCCTGTCCAGCTAAGCAGACAGGACTAATAATTGGAGTTGCAGGTTACATCGTCCTTAATTAACACTCTGCTACAGTTGATAAGGTACAACAAGACACCACATCAGCACCACTGCTCTGCAATGATCTAAAGCACAGGCATTCAGCAATACATGGACCTATTGCTTGAAAAATGGGATCTGTGGGTTTTTTCTTATCCACACAGATGATTACACTTGTTAAACAAGTTACAATCACTTAGCAAAATTGCATTATTTCTAATAATCTCCATGGTATGCACCTGGGTTTTTAATGCTTTTCAACTTTCCAGTGATTCATCAAGTATAATAAAGTATCTTTGACTTTCAGCTATTTAGCAAAAAAAGTATAAAGTACATTATATGCACTATAATGACAACAGCAACAAAAAATGATAAAAAGCATCTCCCAGAACACACAGGATAGAAAGGAGAGACAATCTGGATGACAGCTCCATGGCCAGACCCCCATGCTCACACTTTTCATGCTTCCCTCTTACATTCTCCTAAACCTATTTCCTGAACTGGGTATTGTCAGCCTTCAAGAAGCATCCAAGGCAACAAAGGGAAGGAATTGCACACTGAGGAAGTGATTAATCTAATCTGACAAAGCTGCTGAAAGGGATCTACCCCCATGGATGTTTAATGATGGACATTCTTTGGCATCTTTCCTTTCAAGATTGCTTTCCGAGGGAAATCATGTTCTTCTCCACCCACCTGGTAACTTCTGCTCCCATCTGGTAACTTTTGAACATTGACACTGGTTTTAAGGAGGTCTCACAGTGTTAGAAAGGTCTCAAAGATCATGTGTAAATCAACAGCCAGGAGCAGGAAGGGGACCCAAATTACCACCCACTTCATTAAAAGGCTGCATTAAAAGTGCAGTATTTTATACCCATCCATCACCTCTGGCCAGTGATCTCAAAACAACCCATAGGACATGATTTCTCTTTTCCTTTGATACTGCCTGACTGTGAGCTGGAGAACAGATGCAGGGCAAGCTGATACTCTGTGCAAGGGGAAAAATATTACACAAGTGCTACAAAAAATACAAGAAGAAATGGAGGCTGCATCTGAGGTAGGTGAGATGATGGGAAGCATGGAAGGAGAAGGCTGATTTACTGCAGCTGCTGGGATGAGGCAGGAATTCACTAGAAATCAGATTTCATTATGTCCACAGCTCACAGAACATGTGGTTATTGTTCTGGGTATCATGCATGGATAAGTATGGCTTTGCCAGCTGAAATTGTGGAAGCAGGGTGGAACCATACAGGTGGTATTTGACATTTAAATTTAATCTTTCCACCTCAATTTACTAGCATGCAGTAGTAATTCACTGGGTTTCTATTACCTATAAAAGCTTTAGGTAGGCTACTGATGAACAAAGATACCCAAAGAGATTTTTGTTTGTTTAAACGGCAGGATCACTTTGCCATTACATTTAGACGCTGTTTTTAAGTCAGTTCTGGGTTAAGCCCATTCAGTCTGTCACAATAAACTTCAATGCCTTCAGATCAATATGTTGGAAAAGGATGTTTCAGACACTGTTCTGCCTCAATAGAAAGAGCAGACAAAAATAGGAGCTTATAGAGCTGAGGCCAGACTGTTCCTTTTAACAAGGGCATATAGATAAAATATCACATACTGAAATCTCAGGCTTTTCAAATATCACTTTCTGGAGATATTCAAATCACGACTATTTATCTCTAGTTCAAAACAGAAGGCATTTGAAGAAAACAACAGATGAACTCCCAGAGCAAGAGGCAAAGTTCTTCAACATCCATTAATAATAGATGTGAGCACAACGCTTTTAAAAATTGTGGGTAACAAACTAATCTGAATAATAACTGACCTAACAGTAGGCAGTAAACAGTGTAACTGGGTTTGGTACATTGCTTCAATTAGATGTGTTTTGATCTGCATTGATGCTTTAATTGGAGGCAAGCCTCCCCTTTCATCTAGAATTTATGACTTCAGGGAGATGATCTAGCCTTCAAATTATCCGTGTTTAAATAGCCACTAATTAGTCATCATTTGCTGTCCCAAAGCTACCAACTTTTATCTTAAAAATATCCAGAACTAATCTCCACTATGAAACAAATATAAACTATAAAAGGTAACAACTACTTTGATTTTAATATCAAGTGAAGTTCTTTAAAACCATTAATCCAATAAAAAAGGCAAAGAACTGTTTTTAAACAGTTTGTTGTTATATACTTTACTGCAGTTGCAATAAACAACTCTCTTCAGACTCCAGTTCTCTTTCCAGAATTATAACATTCAAATTACAATATACAGCAATACCTAGCTACAAAATTTTGAAGCTGGAAATGAAACAAATAGCAGCTGTAGTGTCTTTTCAGTGTTCTCCAAATAGCTGCTAAGGCACAATGGCTTATTGTCCTCACACACAAACACAGCTCCTGTTTGCACATACAGTTCATGCACACCACCCTCTGTTCCAGTGCCACTATTCCCTCTCTCAATGCTCCTTTTTTATCATTATTATTTTTATAATTCATATCAGCATTCTTATCTCCTCCTCAGACTACATGTTAATGTGCACAAGTACTGTTTCGCAATATACCAAGTACTTTCAGTCATCAGTTACAAATTTCTATTGACTCTTCAGGAATTCCTCTCACCAGTAACACAACTGCACTTGCAGTATATTCTCCTATCACCTACAAGGGCAGAAAGCCAAGTCCCTCTTCAGAAAACCCGAAATCCATGCATTTGGGTCAATTCCAAAGGCATCCCAGCGCTGGAGCAGCTCCTGTCGCAGGCTCAATTCCTGCGCACCCTCTAGCGGCTACCGAGGCAAATTCCCATTTTCCTGGCAAACAGCACATACATAGGGGGCTGCCTCCGGGAAAGGGAAGCAAACAAACCAAACTAATTGCCGATTACTTTATAAGATATAACATTGTGTCATTTTCAAGCCTTCACAATATTCCCTGAGAACAGAAGGAGACCTGGGGGTGCTGGTGGACAGGGGCTGGACACGAGCCAGCTGTGCCCAGGTGGGCAGGAAGGGCAGTGGCACCTGCATTGGTCCAGGAGTGCAGGACCAGGGCAGTGACTGTCCCCTGTACCGGGCACTGCTGGGGCCACACCTCCACTGCTGTGTCCAGTTCAATTCTGGAAGGACAACGAGGGGCTGGGGCAGGTCCAGAGAAGGGAACAGAGCTGGGGAAGTGTCTGGAGGGAAAGTCCTGGGAGCTGCGACTCAGGGAGCCCGGGGTGTCCATCCTGGAGAAACCCTTCAGCTCAGGGGGAACCTCCTCACCCCCAAAACTCCCCAAAAAGAGGTTGGAGCCAGCTGTCTCCACTGCCATGTCTCAAGAGGAAGGATGAGAGGAAATGGCCTTAAATTGCACCACAGCAAGTCCAGATTAGGTATTAGATAAATATCTCTCCCTAGAAGAGTGGTTAAGCACTGGATTCGGCTGCCCAGGGATGTGGTGGAGTCAGGAGGGTTCAAGGTGTCTGGATGTGACACCTGGGGATGTTTCAGGGGTGATTATGGTGTGTTGAACTACATAATCTTGAAGGTCACTTCCAGCTTTGATGATTCCATGATTCTGTGACATATGAACACTCACTGCTTACTTGTTGAGTGTTCAAATCAGTAATAAAATATATCCTGCTCAATTAGAGAAAATTAATTATAATTGATATATAATTAATAAATGTCTAATTAATAACTAATTTATATTAATTATTCAGCCTATCTACACACATTTTAAAAGTACAAGATAAACTAATGTAGCAAACATTTCATAAAGAAAATTCTGATCTGATGGGAATGATTTATACAGATTTATAAGATACATTAAATGGAACAACATAAAGCAGTAACTTGTGCAAGGCCAGCTCTCATTTCCACAGGGACTAGATTTCTGTTAAAGTCATCACATCTGAGAGATGTAAAATTCTGTATGTACTTAAGAGGTTCATGTGCCCCACCAAAGTTTTAAAACCTCAACAAGCTTCTTTTAAATGAGATTCTGAGTTAGTTCATCCCAACAGTCACTAGTGCAGTGAAAAACTGACTGTAAATTCCTGCAAATACACACGTGGCTTCATAAAAACCACCAAAAAACCCCAAACCATACAAATAGAATTTATGGCCAAAAGACTTACCCAGAATGACTTGAAGAAGGAGGAGGCAGGTCAGGTGTTAGAACATAAAGACTATTATTTTTTGGCAAGTGTAGACTTTTTAAAACAGTCTAAGGGAAGAAAAAACATTATAAATATAAAACATTCACCAATTCTGACTTTTTTTTTTTTTTTTAATCATAGGTATATATTTACAGTATCACCAAATTTTTTGTTTCAATATATACTTCCTTTTACTTCAAAATATAATTTCTGTAGATGGGCCACATTATATACAAACCAAAGACAAACTGATTTGTCCTGATTTTATTTTGCAGTGTTTTAGATTGAGAGTTCTTTGTGTGCCACCCAAGACATCATTGTCTGAAACTGACAATTCTTGCACTGTAATCCCCACCCACAGATGCTCAGTTTGAAACTGAGTTCAGTTAACTGAAAACACAGTTGAGAACTTACACTATCATCTACATCTCCAGTCTTCCACCCTTTTAACAGCATTTTAGATGCAGGAATCTGAAGTTCATTTTCTAGAACACGTTTGATATCTCCTAGAGAGAAAAACAAAGGGAATATATAAAATATACACGTTTACTGCTTTATTTCAAACAGCAATGAATTGTACTCAAAATAACAAGAGCAAGGAAAAATTTACTATGAGAAGGATTTTTAGTCTAGTTACCCTTGTAACATACTCTTCAAACAGTAAAGGACAAATGAAGCTTAAAAAATAATCACAAAGCATGAATGATTGGAGAATCACATGAGGATTTGATGACCTGGACATAGATATTGGTAATTCTATATTCCATATATACTGGACACACACATTTGCAGCTGTGTGCTATCTGGAGCTCCAGACTTTGCCAGCAACAAAGAGGGTTCGTGTTTTTGATACCAAATTTCATTCTCATTAGTCCAGACCTCAGGAACTGGAATGTTCCTACAACTGACTGCTCTGACAGCTTTTGCAATGTTTTGTACATTTTGGTGCTCTCCTGCCCCTGTAGTTATTACAGTCATAAAATAATTCAGGCTGGAAGGTTCCTCTGGGGCTCATGTGGCCCAAGCCAAACTCAAAGATCTAATTAAATCAGTTCAGTCAATGACTTGTCCAGCTGACTCTTGAACACATCAGGATGGAAGTCTGACAACTTTTCTGGCCAACCTGCTTCAGTACTTCACCACCCTCGCAATAAAAAAAAAACCCTTTTATTCAATGTGAATTTTTGATGCTGTGCCTATTGCCTCCCACTCTCATGCACCTCCAAGACAAATCTTCTCCATGTCCTCCAGCAGGCAGCTGCAGACAGAGGTCAGGTCTGAGCCTTCCCCTTCCTCCCCAGGCTGAATAAATCCTCTTCTCTGTGCCTCTCCTCCTGTTAGCCCAGAGCTCCAGACTCCTGACCAGACTTACTGCAGGATGTCAACATCTTTCTTGTAGCAGGCACCTCAAAACCCAACACAGTGCTCCTGACACAGCCTGGCAAGTGCTGAATAGAGGGAAATAATTACATCCTGGGGTCCACGGGCTACACTCTCACCAACAACATCTGGGACATGACAGATCTTCACTGCAGGAGTTCATTGCTGAAGCACCAAAGATCTCTTTTATTAAATTGTTTTCTAGCTCATCAGCCTTCAGCCAGGTATCAGGTGGGGATAACATGGAGTTCTCCTATGCCAGATACAGGACTTCAACTTTATTTTCTTGGAACTTCAGGAGGCTCCTGTCAGCCCATGTCTCCAGGCTGTCCAGGACCTGCTTAACAGCAGCCCTGCTCTCCAGAATATCAGCCACTTTCTCTGAGTAGATTAAGATTCATTTTGATCAGTTTTTTTTACCCAGTTTTTATCTTAACATTATGACTAGAAAAATACAACAGCAGAATACATCAAAGACCCTCCTAAAGCCACAGTGACATTCCCTCCCCTTGTCAACTGAGCCAGTCATCAAATTGTAAAAGGAAAATAATGCTGACTGATTAGATACAATTTGCCTTTAGTAAATCCACGCTGGCTGTTCCAAATCCCCTTCTTTTCTCTCCCATGCTCAAAAAGTGCTTCCAGAAAGATTTATTCCATAATCCTCCCACAGACCAAGCTCAGCAATCACCACTGAACACACATTCATATTTGCCTTAGCCTTTCTTTTCAGGCTGATATAGTTACAGAAACCCTTCTAATTCCTCCACCTGAGCTTTGGTCTTCCTAACTCCAAACCTGCACATCTCTCTGCTCCTGCTGGGCAGCCCATCACCACTTTCCACCTCTGGCTACTTTGTTTTTGAATTTAGCTCAGTCAGAAATGCTTTCTTCTTCTGTTCTGGCCTTCTGCCACGCTTGCTCCTCTTGCATGTTGGAAAGAATTGTTCCTGTGCTTTGAAGAAGTTGTCCTTGAAGATCAACCAGCTCTCCTGGGCCCCTGTGTCCTCCTGAGCAGCATCCCATAGGCAGCCTCTCATGGCATCCTGCCAAGATCCCCAAAAAAGCAAAAAATATTCTTTCCTCAAGTCTGAAGTTCTAAAATTTGCCTTGCTCACTTCTCCCAGGACTTTAAACACAAGGCTGCCCTCCATCTTTATAACCCAAGATGCAGACAGAAGTTCTACACTAATTGCCTTCTGCCCTACAGCCTTCAGGTAAAATTCAACTATTAAGAAGAAGGTAATAATAAAAGAAAAATCAAAGCGGTACAGCTGCAAAATTCTGATCTGATCAGATTTTGATGTCTAATTTCCATGGATGTAATTTAGCACAAAGGGAAACATGGAACAGCCATCGATAATTCAAACCCATCACCGCTAGGTGGCGCCAGCCAACACCAAATCCATTGCCGAAAAGAGACGCGAGGATCAGAAGTTCCAAATTTCATCCCAGACAAAAGGCAAGGAAAATTGCTTTCACCAACTATTTCTTCACTAGCTCCTTATTTGGATCTGTATAAGCTTTCCACTAAAAATAGGAAAAAGAAAGTACTTTCCTTCCTTAGCAATAGTAAATTAATTCCCAGTTTGGGGAATGTAAAAAATAACATGCTCTGCAACACTAACAATAGCATACCTCTAACATACTGCTTCAAAATTCACCAATTTTAGAATAAAGACAATAAAACTGATAGAATTAATCTTAATTTGAATGAAGGAGTCAAATAAAAATTGAACTAAGAAGAATGCAATGATGTTCTTCACACCAGAAAGAATTCCTCTAATCTCGTCACTAATCCTGTGCAGAAAGAGATGCCATACAGATTCAAAGAGGAAATGCTAAGATCATCCGCTTATAAATAGCTTGCATCTACACTAATCCTACCCCAAATTACACTTTCATGCCTCAACTTAATGATTAATCTCCATTTTGTTTCTGAAGCAAGTTCATAAGAAAACTAGATTTAAAAAGAAGTATTTGCTAGATCACTAACCTTTACAATGGATTAGTGAAATTTTGCTTTTCTAAAGCTGCAAAGAGATTTGAAAATTATTAGTAGCTGTGCAGGCTGCTTTTTCAGGGGGATTTTTTTTTCTTTTTAATGGTTTTGTTCTGCTTTGCTTTAGGACTTGGATTTTTCAGGTTGAATTTTTTTACTTCGTCTTTTTAACAATTTCACGACAGCACCTTTTATTTCATTTTTACAAATCCTTACCAACTGTGGAGCTGTCTTCAAGTACTACATCCACATTTCTGTCTCTGTACTCAACCCTGAAGTCAAGCATTCGAGGTTGTCTTTCCACTATTTGTCTAGATGGCACTACATGGCGAAATGCTGAGGAGGAGGAAGGAGCTGAGGAAGCTGCAGCAGAGTGACTGGTGGGGCCATAGGCTGGTCCATGCAAAGTCTCTACACCATACTCACTGAAAGACAGACAAATAAGATGATTTAAACACAACAGCTTGGTATGTCTAAACAGAAATTAGGAAAGGAAAATTACAGTATTATTCACTTACTACAGTCCAGCACACACACCTCTTGAATTATTGCTGTCATATCTGAAAATACTGCTTATGAAAAATGAAAAAATAACTTCTGTACCAGCAATTTTAACATTTCACAACTCAGGAGTGCTGTAGGAAATCAGCACTGGTGACAAACAAGCATTTAAAATTCACTATGTAATTAATACCAGAATTATCTAGAGGAGGAGGATTATTTCCTGTTCCAGGAGTGTTGTGGCCATATAAAATTTGCACCATGGCAACGACCAGCTTTCTACATCATTGGGCTAGTATCCAGTGGAAATGAGAATAAGAAATACAGCTCAAAATTCTGCATGCAGACAGGTATTTTCCCACATCAAATTAATGAAAATTAGTGAAAAACAATTAAAACAGATATATGTTTAAGGTAAATAAATTAAGATAATAAGGATAATAAAGTGTTGAAAATAACACCTAGAAGTACAACAGTAATGCAATGCTGAATTCTAGCTTGCCTTCAAGTTCAAAATTCTGCAAGGCTCCTGGAGATTCACATAAGGATGTCTCCATAGCTGACTCAAGGATACCCACAGCATTAGAGGTCAGAATAAACTGGAAAACCCTCACTACCCAGGAGCACTGCATCTTCCTCAATGAGCCTCTCCACAGGAATCATGTAACAGGGATTGGAAACAAGTGTAACAAAACATGACATTTCAGGAATATTATTCCAGGCAAAAAAGAAAAAACCCTATTATGTAGAGAAATCATATTTGGAATGCAAGAATCTTCCTCAGGTAAGCCTGGGGTGTTGCCTTTTAGATGTTCTTACCAGGAAGATGCTGGGCAGTTACAGGATCTCATGGTGGATTTCAGAAATGCTGCAACATAACTAAATCTCATTTCCATTCTTTATCAGAACTTATTTGAAAAATTCCTTCTGTTCTCGAAGATACCATGAGATTCTCACTGGAAATGCTTCACAGAACAAGTCAAATCTGTCATCTAGAGGAGGTCTGAACTTGAAAAAGTGCAAATGTGGATGGCATGCATGTCACAGAAGTGCAACAGTACTCAGCTATTGCAAATCCCATCATTGTGCCTTTCACATTTGAAACAGAAAAACATGTTATGCTTCTAAAACAAGGGGCTCCTTCACTTCTCACATCAGCATGCTCAGAAGGATGAATGCCCAACCACAAAGGCCCACACTCCCACACCTATGGCTCAAAAGTCAAAGGCTCACCTCAGAGCTCTCAAGAGTACAGGAAACACCCTAATTTTCAGGATCTAAAAAAGTATAAATACCAAGTGATATCCTATTGGTTTCAGTCTGTTGGACAGTATGAATTAAGTAGAATTAAGTAACAATTCTGTTAGTAGACTCCAGAAGCAATGAATATCCCAGTTCTCAGGAGTGGATTACAAAACAAGCAACTGAATTATAAAAATAAGTGTACTTTTTTCTCTCTAATAAACTAACTTACTTCAAATCCAGTTATATTAATCCTATTTGATTCCACCATAAAAAGCATCCTACATACCTGACTAGCAACCTCTAACAGAACATAAAAGCCTCACATCAGTAAAATAAGCCTTATCTGAAAACCACTGGAAACCAGGTTTCTAAAAAACCTTCAAACCACTTCCACTGGAAGAACACAAAACAAGACAAAAACAAAGTAACAAAAATACACATTTGAAATACATTTGACTATCTAAAAATTAATAAATTACTGTGAAAGAAAAATGTAAGTGGGCACTGGACCACATTGTGATTCAAGACAGGCATTAATTACACTTAACTATTCCCCAGCTTCTTTTCCCCAATCAAACATTCTGGTATTTTGAAGAGAAATGCTTTGAGGTCACAACTTATATACAGAAAGAGTGTTCCACACAACCAAGACTTAATCTCACATGGACTAAACAGGCCTTACAGTAAATATATATTTAATAACTTTACTGAGCAAATAGTTTTATCCTCAATCAAAACCTGACTCTATTGAATGACAACTTCAGTAAGTATTGACAGAGATGTCAAACACCACTTCACCTACATTACATATCTCCTTTTATCATTACATTTTTTAAATAGTACATTAAATATTTTTCTGAACAAATTTTTAAACACTGTTTTACTGTCTCTCTTAGGTAGCTCAATTCCTGTTCTGCTGTTTTCAATTGCCTCATCAGCACTTAGAAGATCAAATTTCAGTGACTTCAAGATATCCAAGCATCAGTATACAAGCCAAAATTTAATTCAGAAGCTGAAAGAAAATCAGTAAAACTACTTTTAGAAGGGAACAACCTTACTTTATCTATAACAATTTCTGCTGCCTGTAATTCAATTTTAAAAAAAAAAAGTACAAATGTTTTTGGCCAGAAATAGGGAAGCATGGAATATCAATACCTTTAAAAATGCGTAAGAAAAATAAATACTTAGCCAGAAGCATACCAACATCCAGTCTTTGTAAAGAGACAACCCTGCAAAGAATGACCCAACCACCAGTGAATTCAAAATAAAAGTTAACTATTTTGAATAGATGTTTGAGCTAATCCTCTATCAGTATGGGAAAAACTGAATGTTAAATCAGCTTTGCCAGGAATAGAATTTGTGTCTCCAGAAACAGCTTTAAAAGGAGAATTATGTCATCTTCTTAGGATTCAGGAAGGAAAAAAAAGTAACTGTTACCCAGCATAATTCTCTGCATTACTACTCCAGTACTCTATGCTTACCTTTGTAGAATGCCATTTTCTTGTGGTATAACACCATTTATAGCTGCCTGAAAAGAGAAAACAAATTTTGAGTCAAGCATGCAGAACAAAAATACATCATAACTTTCATAATATATTTCGGAGAGTGATCAGCTTGCTTTAAAACATGCCCTAAAATGCTCTCTATTTAGTGCATATTCTTGGTGAACGACACCATCATTATGGTATCTACATAAAATAAACACCCTATCCAAGTGAAAACCAAACAGGAGCTGAAACTCCTGTTTGTGTGAGATGGATTTCCCAGGTGGGATGGCTGGGAATAAACTGCATGGCCCACGCTGAGTCAGTCTCACACACAGGGGGACACATCAAACCCCCTGAGCCAAATGTGCACAGCCCAGGCAGCATCACAGCACATCCACAGAAAATCTGATGCTGCCCAGAAGCACCAGTCATGGTCAGTCAGGCCCATAAAGATGCCCAGCTGCACACACCCTGCATGCTGCCAGCCCCAGGTGCTCACCAACTGCTGAGCTGGTGCCAACAGCTGCTCCAGAGCAGCTCCATCACACCTACAGACACGACCCAGCCTCCCCAGGCTGCCAGGGAACCACACAAGGGACCATCCCAAAAATTCAAACAATCCTCAGGTAAGAAAGGAAGTATTTTTTTAAGCAGGGTTTGATGCAGTTAAATACCATTCCACGCTGTCCAAATCATCAGAAGGCTTAACAGCAAGATTAAAGAGAGATTGTAGATTCCCACTGCTCTCCATTTTCTCCTGTATCAGCAGCAACTCATCCATTTTCTACCCTCACAACTTCTAATTTCCATCCTCACATGTCAGATATACCTGACCTGTTGGCCAGAACACCTGGTGGATGAGTGTCTGGTCCCCAGAGAAGAAGGGAACACTGATGTTTAGCAGGCCATGGATTCCCTAGTGCTCCAGGAGGACAAAGTCATTCCCTGTGACTGAGCTACTGACAATCATCATTAACACCATTTGTACAAATTAAGTTTAAAAAAATGTAGCTTAATTATTGCTTAATAAAAACAAAAATAGATGTAATCAAGATTTAAATGCTATGGTTTCTTTCTCTCTGAATACATAAACATGACTTTTTTACAATTTCCATTAATAGTTAAGGCTACATGAAGTCAAAGTTCTATTGCTGAACTCAGCTAAATTACTGTGATACCGCAGTAACATTTATCCTGCATTTAGCAACAAATATTGCATTAATAATAATTTTAAAAGCAGAGAATGAAAAGGTCAGAGGTACCCATAAGCTACAGCAACAACCCATGAGGCTGCATCAAATTACAGCAAAACAAAGTTCCCTACCAGATCAGGTTTTAAATCAGTTTATCCACTGTGCATGGCAATAATCAGTGGTTTCTTTTTAACAACGTGTCTCATTTATCATCATTGTGGTTTTTGCAGTCATACACAGCTCTTGATCGTGTTCATCTAATAAACCTCTAGGAAAGAGTAGGAGGTTTTGGTTTATTTGGGTTTTTCTGGATTGGCTTCTCACTCCCATACTCTTCAGCAACATTTATTTAATTCATGTCAATCAACAGATAAAGTTGCCTGAGAGACAAAGTTATCCTTTATTTTGCATCTGTAAGATACAGAAAGTAAATACAAGTTTTGTACCACAGAACCTACACTAATAATGATCTGGTGGTGCAACAAAATTCTCTTTACTTGGGGAAAAGAAGCTGCTTCAGCTGTGAAGAAATACAGCAGTGTGGCATTTTCACACTTCTGTCAAAGCTCTGTCTCAGAGGATTAAATCAGCTCAAACTTCTTCTGAGCCTAGTTAGAGGGGTTAAATACAATAGAGGCTCCAAGCTATTTTCTTTAAAACTGAATAACTCCGTTGTTCATATATCCCCAGTTTTGTAAACTTGATGACATTTAAGGGGCACAGGAGTAAGAAAAAACAGCAGAAGCATTATGTACTTTTTTGATGGAAAGACCTCTATTAACCACACTGTAAAACTAAAGAGTCCAGACACTGTTTGTTAAGCAAGATGGAAGACTAAAATAATGTAGACAGCAAATGGTAGCAGTGCACATGTACATACTGCATAAATATTAAATATCCATGTTCTAACAAGACAGCTATAAGTAGACCCTGCAAAGATAAAAAAGAAAAAGGAACAACCATCTGCTTTAGAATTTCATTGGGAGAAGGTTGTGACTATAAAAAAAAAATTAAAACAAGAACACGTTACTAAGGCAAGATCTGTTCCAGGCTGTTCTTCCCCAGTGTCAGCCCCCTTTGAGAGAGGCTCACATCTCTATGGTTATACAAACATTTCAAGATATTACACCTTTTTGTCTCTCCAAACAGGGATCTTTGATCACAAAAACCACCCTGTGTGGCTAATTTATAGTCATTAAAAATGTTTGTTACCCTCGAAGCAATTTTAATAACCAGTGCATTAAATCTCTTTATGGGTTATTAATATAAAAGAAACCATGTCTGGATCAGAAAGCTCCTCCAGCTCCCAATAAGCTGCTGCTGAGAGTGATGCCAGGGGAGCAGCACTCTGTGCTGATGCTGCTCTCACACTGCATATCCACAAGTGTCCCTGCTGGATCCAGGGCACCACAGCTATCTAATGCTATCACTATTTAAAGAGTGAAATTCACTTTAATGGAAAATTATAGGGGCTTCAGAAGATTTTTCCCAAAGCTAAGAATCCTAGGTGTGTCTCAGTGCTATCCATAGCAAATTCTGCCATAACACCATCCCATCCTGGAACACAATCATTTCTGTTTTCATGACAACCTTCAAACCACTACCAGGCCCACAGTTTAGCTCATTAAATTATAAACTGAATGTAGCTCTTCTTGATTTATACATTTTGTTTAGGGATATCCATCATATATCCAGGAACTGGAACAGCTTATTTAAAAATTCATTAAGTACTGCATAACCTGACCTAATTGGACCTGCTTTGGGCCAGAGAGACATCCAGAAACAACTTCCAGTCCCAAGCACCTGTGATGCCATCATCCAACAGTACAGGTTATCTTGATAAACATACTGTGAACCCTGGGTTTTTTTAAATGAAAAGGATATTAAGAATGTGATATAGTACTGGACTGAGAAGTGCCCATTAAAAAGGTTCAAAGTAACAATATTTTTGGTGGGTTTTTTTCAGCAGCATGCTTCCAAGTTACAGTACTGAAATATATTAAATCCAACCTTTTTGTTTCCCAAAAACATAGGGAACAATAAAGCAATAGGGTTGATGAAAAGTTACCAAATTCATTAACAGTCTGGGCAACATAAAAAATCCGTGGCATAATAATCCTGAAATTATTTAGGTACCTAAAGAACACTGTGAAGCAGACTAAAATTTAGACTTTTTCCTCAAGGGAATATTAACTTAACTAGATTAGTCAGTTCTGACTAATTGTGGCTATCTTTTATGAGTACAAAACAGTGTTAGAAGGAAAACCAAGAACCATGATTCCTTAATTATCTATTGAAACAACAATGTCAATGACTTCCTTCAAAATACACAATTCTAGTGCTAACCATTTAAAAGCAATGAAGCACATCTTAGAGTGACTCTCATCCCAAGGTCCTATGAATAATGTGGGGTTTTAAATAAAACAAATAGTCAACTCACAAGTTGTAAATACTCAGTGGCTTTCACAAAGTTTGAAGATGGGCTGGATTTACCAAAAGCAGAAGTCTACACTGAATATTCAAACGAGGCAAGGGCGAACTATAGATGGGAGGTACTTTTTTAATTTCCAGGATTTAAAAGGGATGTTTAGGAGAATTAGGAGTTAAAGGCAGGCCCAGACAAAATGGCAGTTAAAGGCTTTTGCAATGGTCGAGGAGGGAGTTCTTCCTCAGTGGCCACCTCTTGTCCCTCCCCTGTCCTTGCCAATCTCCAGAGCACACAAAGGTTTTGGCTGATGGATACAGACCCCTTAACACCTCCCTTCTGGAACCTCCACTCCAGCCAAGGGCAAGAGCTTGCACAAAGCACAATGCAGGATGAACTCTCCAAAACAGGGCAGTAGAAAACACATCCCAAAGCAAAAGGAGAAAGCAAGCTGGAGCAGCACAGTGCTGGAAGAACAATCCTTTCAGAAGAAGAGGCTGGAAAGATGTAAATAACCTGCACACCTGAGAGATGCACAGTTCCACTGGGATAAATAACCAAACCAGTTTAACACAACCAGCACAAGCTGCTCCCGGAGAATTTCAAAAGCCTCATTTAGGTTTGACTGCCCTGAGCAAGTGAGACCACTTCAGTCTACTTATCAAGGTCCTTGCAGAGCTTTACATTTGTTTAGCTAAAAACGAAGGAGGTTTACATGAAACAAACACAGCACACAAATGAGACCCCGAGACAGGGTAATGGGAACTGCCACAGTGCATGATCCAAAATCCAATGTCCAACCAAATGGCATCAAGTGCTTCAGAAAGTCACAGGGAATTATAATGGAGTAATTTGCTCATGGGGCATTTTCTTCCAACCCTCTGATCTTCCTATGTGTTCAGATTTACAGTATTAGTAAATTTTTCGTGTATTCAACTTAAGGCAATAGCCTCATAAACCACATATTTAATTACTTCTATGAAACTCAGCAATAGCTTTTTTTGACGAGAGGATTCATTTATTATGACTTTCAAAAATCTGTATTTTCCCCCAAATGCTACAAACTCAGATTTTACTTTCAGTTTAACACATCTGGCAAGCTAAAAAAAACAAAGTTCTGCATTTTGTGTCTTTACTATTCATTCTGCCTCTCCTTCTCGTTACACAATTAATAATATCTTCTCGATATAAAAACTATTTCTCTCAAATAACAGATGCAAAAAGTCTACCCCATGAAGCAAAGACAGGGAGACGAGTTAGCCACTTGCAGGACAGTATTTAAAATTACAACAAAAAAACCAGGCATTTTGTTGTTTCATACTCAGAACAAAGAAAAACTTGTTTTAATCTTTGACTCTTTCAGCATTTAATCTTAGATTTATTTTTCTGACAATTTAAGTGAATATAATACCAAAATTTACAT